AGCGCTGACTTCTGGTCTCCGTCCCCAGCCTCCGTTTGACGGGGAGGACGAGGAGGAGCTGTTTCAGGCCATCATGGAGCAGACTGTCACCTACCCGAAGGCGCTGTCGCGGGAGGCGGTAGCAGTGTGCAAGGGGGTGAGCCTGCAAGCTGCCTGGCAGCTCCTCCTCCCCTCTGCGGTCTCTGAGCTGCGCTCCCTCGCCTCTCGTTTGCATGTTCATCTGTCTGTGTGGGCTCACCTCTGCCGGCCTCTGGGCCGCTAGGTGGCGCCATAGTGCGCAGAGTGTCGGGCCTGGAGTCCGGAAGACTCATCTTTCTGGGTTCAAATCTAGCCTCAGACTCTTACAGCTGTGTGACCCTGGGCAAGACACTTCACCCTGTTTGCCTCAGTTTCCTCATCTGTCAAATTAGTCGGAGAAAGAGATGGCAAACCACTGCAGCATCTTTGCCGAGAAAACCCCGAATAGGGTCAGGGAGTTGACGGAGCAGCTGCCGTTTCCAGGCTAATTCTTGGCGTCCCAGTGTTTTTGCGTCTCTGTGCCTCGGTCTGCGCCCCTTTGCTGCGCCTTCGCCTCCCCGTTTAGGCTGGTGTTTCCCTTACTCTGTCTCTGTCTCTGGTTTGGCTTCTGTGTCGCTACAGTAGAATGGAAGCTCCTTGGGGGCTTTCCCTAGCAGAGTGCGAGGTTCACACAGTGGTGGGCACTTCCCCTATTGGACTGAATGAAGTTCAGTTGTTCTGATTGTGGTCCTCTGAGATTTTGTCTGCGTTATTTGTCTTTCTCTGTCTCTCATTTCTTTCTGTTTCCCTAGTGGCTCTATCTTTGTCCAGGTCCGACTTCTTCTGGTCTTGCTGTTCTGTCTCTCCCTCCTTCCTTCTCTCTCTCTCTCCCTCCCTGCTTCTCTCCCTTCCTCTCTCTTCTCCCTCTCCCTCCTTCTCTCTCTCTCCCTCCTTCTTTTTCTACTCCCTTTCTTTGCCTGTGTTTCTCTGCCTTGGCCTCTTTCCCTCGGATTTTCCTCGTTTCTGCCTCTTCCTCCCTAGTTCCTCACTAAACACCCAGTGAAGCGTCTGGGCTCTGGGCCCGATGGAGAGGTGGCCATTCGGGCTCATGGATTCTTCCGCTGGATTGACTGGGAGCGCCTGGAGAGACTCGAGATCCCTCCTCCCTTCAGGCCACGACCAGTCAGTATCTTCTGGGTCCTTACCCAGTCCCATCCCTGTGTATGTGTAATGTGTGTGTGCTCGCTCGCAAGGTGGCTCGGTCTCAAGAACAGGGTAAAGGACCTTGGGGGAGAAGAAGAGGGGATCCCAATAACCTCCAACCCTATTCTTCCCCCAGTGTGGCCGCAGTGGTGAGAATTTCGACAAATTCTTCACTCGTGCAGCCCCAGCGCTGACCCCCCCTGACCGCCTAGTCCTGGCCAGCATCGACCAGGCTGATTTCCAGGGCTTCACCTATGTCAATCCTGACTTTGTGCATCCTGATGCTCGAGAGCTCCCCAGTCCTGGGGCTGGTGCCAGCCCTGTGCCTGTCCTGTGAGCACCCTGTGCTGGATCCAGGCCCCTCTGCTGCTTCCCCTTCTTCTTGGATAGGTGGGGCTGGGGGGAGTTCCCAGATCTTTTGCTCTCTCCCCCCTTCCCCCACCTAGGACTGGCATCCTACATACCCTGCCCTTATTCTAATTCCCCTCATCCTTATCTACCTTCTTAATTCTAGTTCCCCACCAATGTTCTAGTTCTCCATCCCCATTCTAGCACCCCTGACTTCCCCCCCCATCCCTTGCCCTGAGCCTAGAGCCTACCTTCAATTCGAGGTCCTGTGGGAGGCTGTGCCCCCACACCTTGGGACCCGAGGGGAGGGTGGAGATGGCCCCCAGTTGGGGCCCAGCATCCAGATCTACCCACTCTTCCCTGCCCCGCCCTCTGGTGTTCTCCACCAGCCAGTGTTCTAGAACTTCCCCTCTCCCGTCCCCAATCACTGCCAAACTCCTTTCCTGCTGCCGCGTGATTCAAGTCTCAGCTTCATGGAGCCCTGGATTCACCTCTCTGGGCCCCTGAGGCCTCCCTCGGTCAGACTCCCTATATCTGTCCCCACCCCATCCCTCAGGGCTGGGAAATAAAGTTGGGGTTTTGATGCTGGCTAAGTTTGTGTTTGCTTGGGTCCTGGGTTATGGAGGGATGGAAAGAAGAGGCAGTTTGAGGGAAAGACAGACACAGCCAAATAGGGACAGTGAGAAGAATGAGAAAGAAAGGCACTGCGTGGTTCCTATAATTGAAACATAGCCCTTGACAGCCTCTCACTGGAGCCTCAGAAGAACCCTGGCAAGTAGGTGCCCAAGATGCGGTTCCAGTCTGAAGGGAGGTGAGGCTCACCTTGGTCAGCCAATCAACAGGCATTTATTAATCGTCTCCCAAGTGCTAGGTGCTGATCTAGGTACTTCGAATACAAAGATAAAAAACAAACCAATACCTGCCCTCAGAGAGTTTACATTCTACCCAGAACCAGCTATCTTCAAGGAGGCTCAAGTGTTGGAGTCCAGAAGACCTGAGTTCAAATCCTGTCTCATACACTTACTAGATGGGTGGCCTTGGATTGGTCAAACTCAAACTCTTTCTTATCTGTAAAATGGGGGTAATAATAGCAGTTGCTTCCCAGGAGGGCTGTGAGGACCACGTGAGATAATATCTATGAGATACTTTGAGTGTTACAGAAATGGAGGGTGTTGTGATTATTATGGGATAAGACAATATACAGAAACATATATGAAATGAAAACAAGGCAACTTTTCCTGAAAGGGGGAAGTTGGAATGGTAGCTTGGGGCCTTCAAGAGATCCTCAGAGGCAATAGGGAAACCCTATTGTGTGACATGGTCAGACCCCTGCTTTATAAAGGAAATCACTGGCAGCTGTGTGGAGCAGAGGTGGTGGTGGTGGGGTGTTTCTATCCTTTGGATAGCTTGTTTCTATCTAGTTATTTTCCCCGTTAGATTGTAAGCTCCTTGAGGGCAGGGACTGTTTTACCTTTCTTTGCACCCCCAGCACTTAGCACAGTGATTGGCACATAGTAGGCATTTAATAAACGTTTATTGCCTGTCTGTATTGGAAAGGAAGGTTATCCTGACTCTTAAGTCTACCCTTTAAATAGTAGACCAAAAATAGTGCTAGGAAGGGGAAGGGGGGAGGGAGGGAGGGAAAGAGGGAGGAATAAGCCACACGACAGAGGTGGAGGGGAAGAGGCTGAGACAAGGACAGATGGAGAGGCCAGATCAGAGATGGTGAGACTAGGATAATGAGAGTCAGAGACATGCTGAGCCCAGGACAGTGAGACTGTGAGAAGGCACCAACAATCAAGAGACACAGAGAATGACAGAGAGAGTCGGAGACGGTGAGAGAGAATCAAAGATTCAGGCTCAGGGTAAGTGAGAGTCGGAGGGAGGACCTGAGGGGCCACTTTGGGAATAGTTGCCGCTGTTCTCATTCCCCCTCCCCTCCCCCCCCCATCTTCGCCTTCACACCCAGACTCTATTTCCCATCAGCGACCGCGGCCAGCTCCCCTACTCCTGTCCCCTACCCGTCTTTGGTGGCGGTGGTGGTGGTGGTGGTGTGTGTGTGTGTGTGGGGGGGGTTATCTGCAGGGGGCTGCTGGGAAATGTAGTCCGGGGGGGTAGGGGGCGGGGGAGCACTAGCCGAACTCTGTCAGAATCTCCAAGTCCCATTCAGCTCAGTCCAGACACTGGATGTGTGTTAGAGCCCGGCAAGGGGAGGGGGCTCTTGGTTTTCCGAAGGGGTGGAGGTTGGACCAGCTGAATCCCTCTGGAAGTGGGCTAGAAGGGATGTCTCCTGGCTTCTCCAAGGAGGCTGGGCAGGGCGAGGGGATGCCAGGGTGCCTGAGGGGATGGGATTGGGGAAAGAGAAGCCTAGGTCCCCAAGGGGGGGCGGGATCCTAGACACTTGAGTCTGTGAGGAAGTGGGACTAGGGAAGGGATCTCCTGGGTCCTCGAAATGGTAGCATTGAGGAAAAGGCCGCCGTCCCTGAGGGAATAGGGCTTCTGGGTCATTAATGGGGGCTGGATGAGGGAATGTCTGATTGTGTCGGGGCTGAGGGTCACTGAAGGGGTGGGACTAGAGGAGAGGTCCCTGTGTCTCTCAGGGGTCATTCTGGAATCCCCCTTCCCAGGCCAAATGAGAGCAGCTTCGGACCCTGCGCCTTTAAGAGAGAAGGGGGGGGAAGAGCACAACGGCCCGCTGACATCACGCTGGGGCGGGGGGGGTGTGGGGGGCTCACTCAGGCTCTGTGAAGGCTGCAGGACCCGGCCCTGGCCTCGGCTCCGTCCGCCCAGCGCCCCCCGACCCGGCCCCTGCAGGCTTGGCTTGTGGTCCATTCCTTCTGCTTCGGCGGTGCTCTATCCGGTCTCACCGCGCCTTTCTGACTCTGCCTCTCTTTCCCTGGATGTCTCTCGTGTGAGTGTCTCTGTGTCTGCATCTCCATCTTCTCGTCTCTTGTCTCTCGGACCCGTGCCCCCCTCTCTCACCCTGGCTCTGGGCGTCGCTCCATCTCTATCCCCACTGTTTCTCGTTGGCTCCCTCCTCTTGCCCTCTGTCGGTCCAGCTGCAAACCTCATCGTTTTCCTCCATCGCTTGGGGTCTCTGTCCCACTTTGAATCTCGTTGCCTCTCCCCACGTCCTTCTTCCCGGCTCTCTGGCTAGGTCTCTTTGTCCCTGTCCCTGTCTGTCTCTGTGTCAGTGTCTCAGTCTCTCTCCATCCCCATCCTCTGCGTCCTCCCTGCTTCCCTCCCCTCCTCCTCGGCAGCCAATGAGAGGCCTGGGCTCCCTGCTCCCGTCTCCGTCCGCCGAGGAGTGAGTGAAGGAGGGAGGGACGGAGGAGGCTGGGCCCGGGGCCCGAGAGCAAGCCGGAGCCGGAGCCGGAGCCGGAGCCGGAGTCGGAGTCGGAGTCGGAGCGGAGGCCAAGGAGGAAGAAGAAGCCCAGGGGGGTGGGGGCCGGGACGCCGGGGGCCGGGAGCGGCGGGGCCGGTCCGGGGAGGCCGCGGGGCCGGACATGCGGCTGCGGAGCCCGGAGCCCCGAGCGTCCGCCCAGCGTTGAGCGAGGTGAGATCGGCCAGGCCAGGTGTCCCTAGCGGGGTTGGGAGACTGGGATGTTTCTGTCCCCTAGGGGAGTCCAGCTGACTGATGGATGGAGAGGGGAAGCCTAGGTCCCAGGTGGGAAGCAGGATCCTGTAACGCCTGGGGAGGTGTCACAGAGGGCCAGGAGGAGGGAGCGGAACTCTTGGGTCCGGTGCATTTAGATGGGGCAGGGGGAGAGGGGGATTGTCAGCCGGGCTGTAGAGGGAGATACGGACCCCTGGGTCCAGGCTTCAGGAGGCAAGTGGATATACCGAGTCTCTGACAAGAAGGAGCTCGTGGAGGGATGGATGCCTAAGTCCATTAGTCAGGAGACCTGGAATGAGTAAGGGGTTGGGGTTCTGGAATGCCTGGATCCCGGAGGGGATGGGGATGGGATGCTGAGCAGGGAAGACTGAGGCCAGGAGGCACGAGGCAGTCCAGGATCTCGAGGGCCCCAAAGAGGAAGCTTGGAGTGGGGGCGGGGGGCGCAGGCGGATACCTGGGTCCCGTTAGCAGGGGATCAGGACGGGGTTAAAGGTCTGGGAGCCGGGATGCCTGCGTTCCAGAGGGAGAAAGGAAGTCTGGGTCCGAGTCTGGGAGATAGACGGCCATCTCCAGTTCCCGGGAGAGGAAGCTTGGAGCTCATTGCGAGGGGACTAGGATGCGGTCGGGGCTGGGGTCGGGTGGCGGCTGCCCAGGAAAGCGGGAAGGGCCTCCTGGGTCTGGGAGAGAGCGGGAGGCCAGGCCGCCTCCCTGGGCTGGCTCTCTCTCCATTCCCGCGTCCTCGCGCTCCCGCCTCTCCGTCTGCCCGGCCGCCTGTCTCTCCGCAGGCCCCGCGAGCCTCCCACCCGCGGCCGCCGCCGCCATGAGCTCGTGCAGCAGCCGCGCGCTGACCTTGCTGAGCAGCGTGTTCGGCGCCTGCGGCCTCCTCCTGGTTGGCATCGCGGTCAGCACCGACTACTGGCTCTACATGGAGGAGGGCACAGTGTTGCCCCAGAACCAGAGCACCGAGGTCAAGATGGCGCTGCACGCCGGCCTCTGGAGGGTCTGCTTCTTCGCAGGTAGCGGGACCCCGGCGGCCCTCCCCCAGCTCCGGACCCTCCCCCTCAGGGACCCCGGAGGCTTTCCCCCAGCCCCAGCCCCTCAGGGACCCTGGAGACCCTTCCCCTCTCCCCAGGCACCTTGACGACTCGTCCCCCCAGCCTCTGGCCTTTGGGGACTTTCCCTTCACCCCTGGGACCTTAGGCATCCTCCTTGTCCAGCCCCTATTTCCCACAGGGATCTTGATGTGCCCTTCCCTAATCCTGATCCTCACCCTGGTGTTCCCTCCTCTCTCCTCCACTCCTTCAGGAGCCTAGGCCTCTTTCGTGCACCCAGGTGGCCCCAACCCCACAAGGACCGGGGGAGCCTTCCTCGAAGCGGCTCCCGCTCTGTCCATCTTTGTACCGCACCCCCTAGCTCAGAGTAGGCGCCTGTCAAATTCGCTGAATGATTGGTTGACGAAACGCTCTCTTTCCCCACAGGCCGGGAGAAGGGTCGCTGTGTGGCCTCGGAATATTTCCTAGAGCCGGAGATTAACCTGGTGACCGAGAACACCGAGAACATCCTGAGTGAGGGGGGGGGGCTTTGTGTAGGGGCGGGGGCGGGCAGGGGAGGAGCTTGTGGGCCGAGGGGCGGAGCTTTGGCTTCTAGGACGGAAGGTTCACCCCGCCCCTCCCCCTGCCATTTCCCTAGAGACTGTCCGCACCGCTACCCCCTTCCCCATGGTGAGCCTTTTCCTGGTCTTCACGGCCTTCGTCATCAGCAACATTGGCCACATTCGCCCTCAGAGGACTATCCTCGCTTTCGTTTCTGGCATCTTCTTCATTCTCTCAGGTAAGTGCTTGGTGCCCATTCCGCCCCCACCTCTGCCCCAGGGCATGTTCTCTTTGGGTCGCCTCCAGGACTCACTGGACAGCTGCTGTAGCTTCCCCATTGTTAGGACTCACAGAGAAGCCAGTCTCAAAGCTTGGGACCCCTGCCTGACTGTGTCAGGAACCCCTGTTTCTCCCTCTGGAAAATGTAGATTAGACTCAACACTAGCCATATCGTTGGCTATGGGTCCTGGAGCCATTCATAGGCCCTGTCTGGGCTTCAGTATTCCTCTCTATAAAGTTGGGGAGGGGGGAGGGAAGGACTAGATGAAAGAGGTGGAATAGACAGGGCTCTTCTGAATCCCACCTTTTTCTGCCCTTGGTTTTGGTGATCTTAAGCTTCCTGTGTGACCTAGGGGCAGTCATTTTCTTTCTCTAGGCTTCATGTCAAGGAAAGGGATCAGATTAGAACAAGGTTTCTTAGCCTAGGGCCTAAGGATAGATTTCAGGGAATCCATGAACCTGGATGGGAAAAAAGACATTTTTACTTTTCCTAATCTCTAACTGCAGTTTAGCATTTCCTTGAATTCTTTAAGAACCATGATTCTGAGAAATGGCCTGTGGACTTGCCAGACTGCCAAAAGGTTCCATGCCCTGAACACAAAAGGTTAAGAACCTCTGGCCCAGGGGATTTCTAAGAGGACAATCTAATTCTGTCATTCAATGATTCTCTAGTGAGCTCCCCTACCCCCTTCCCAACGCAGTGCTGGAGGATTAGAATAGGGAGAGATGAGGAAAGGGAAGCCTTGAACCCTATGCCAAGGAGGAGTCTGGGTATGATTGGGCATCCAGGGGGATGAAAGGAGCCCCCCGCCCCAGAGATGGAATAGCCTATGGCTGAGGTGAAATGAGGGGGCTTGTTATTTGCAAAGGTACCTATTGTCCATTAATGATGCCAGGAACCTCAGAGGGACATTTTTCCCAACGCCCATCATTCAGTGCCTGCCTACATTCCTGGAGATGGGGGAGGGGCCCAGTCAGGGATGCCTTCCTGGAGGTGCCACTGGTTCAGGTTGGAGGGAGCTCTCCAAGCCACCTGACCAGATCCCCTCCTGGCTGTTTCCTTCCTGTGCAGGCCTCTCCCTCGTTGTGGGCCTAGTCCTCTATATCTCCAGCATTAATGATGAGGTGATGAATCGTCCCAGCGGATCTGAGCAGTACTTTCACTATCGCTATGGCTGGTCCTTTGCCTTTGCGGCCTCCTCCTTCCTGCTTAAAGAGGTGGGATGGGGCTTTGGTTCCTGATGGACTGGAAGCCCTTTTCCCCACTCCTCCTGCGTGCACATCTGAGGCCCTAAGTTCGAGAGGCTGAGGGAGGGCCCGGAGGGGGCGGGGCTAGAGCTTGGGTGGGAAGAAACGGGCAGTGGGAAGGAACTCCCCGGTCCCCGAGCGGGTGGGGCTGGGGGCCCGGACACGGCCACGGTCTCTGATCACGGGTCCCCACAGGGGGCTGGCGTGATGTCGGTCTATTTGTTCACCAAACGCTATGCGGAGGAAGAGATGTACCGGCCCCACCCGGCCTTCTACCGGCCCAGGCTCAGCGACTGCTCCGACTATTCTGGCCAGTTCCTCCAGCCCGAGGCCTGGCGCCGAGGCCGCAGCCCCTCGGACATCTCCAGCGACGTCTCCATTCAGATGACCCAGAACTATCCTCCTGCTATCAAGTACCCGGACCACATGCACATCTCCACCTCGCCTTGCTGAGGCACTGCACCGCCCCCCGCCCAGCCCCCCACCCCGGCACCTGCTCCTCGGGTCCCCTCGGGCCTCCTCCCTTCTTTTCCGGTTTCCTGAGGCTCTTCCCTTGTGGCCCGGCCCTTTTGCTTCAGTCTTTTCCCTTCTTCCTAATTACTTGTACTTCTCCTCTCCTTCCCTTTATCTTTTGGTCTTTTTCCTTCCCTTAATTACCTCCCCCTTCTCAAGTTCCCCTCCTTTGCTCCTTTGCTCCTCCTTTATTCCTCTGGCCCTTCTTTTGTTTCTTGGGTATCTTCGATGTCAGGCAGCTCCTTACAGAAGAAGACTGCAGGCCAAATTCAAGCCTCAACACACTGATCCTCATTTCTCCCGGGGACGATCCAGCTACAGGCATCTCTTACCCTGGGTCTCTTTACCTCATCTGCCTACTGTGGCTAACCACAGTCAGGAGTTGGGAGGGACCAGGTTGCTAACCTTGACCCCAGCCTTCTCATTCCCTTTGCCCCTGGGCCCTCTCCTCCTCCTCCTCCTCCTCCTCCTCTTCCCATCTCTTTTTTTTCCCCAGGTCTGTCTCTCCCTTAGGTTACTAGGAATCTTTTTGTCTCTGTGTCTCTGTCTCTCTTTTTCTTGCTCTTCTTTCTTTTTTTTCCACACCAGAGGCCCCCTGGGAGGGGGAGAGAAGGAGGTTGACAGGCTGATCCTGATGCCTGGATCCCCACCCTCCTTGCTCCTCTCCCCCAAGGCAGGGGCAGTAGCGGGGCCTAGTGGCCCCCCAAACCTCCGAGTCTTCCACCTCTGCCTCCTCTGCACCTCCATCCCTGCCCCCTGCAAAACTCCAGACTTCAGCCCCTCTTAAAGGGTCTGTGCTCTGGGGAACAGCTTAGGCAGGTGTGGGGCCCAGAGGAGGCGAAATAATGTACAATGAACCAGATGGTCCCCCAGTGGTTGGGGGCCAGGGCTTTTAGTCTGCATCTTTGAGGGGGGGGGAGGGAGGGAAAGCAGGGGCAGGGCATCAGTTAACCCGTCATTATGCAGCGGGTTTTTAATGAGGCTTGGGGGGAGGGGGCCCAAGTGGGCCTGGGAACCGGGTGGGAGGGTGGCTCTGTTACTTACTATGTATCATATGTAAATACCAACAGAAACTTCAATAAACTCTATTTCAAACACCGGATGTTTGCATTGAGGATTAGGTGGTGGGGAGGAATCTGGGGCCCTGCGTTTGGGAAGGGTGTAGGGTTAAACGGTATGCTGACTCTCCTCTCCGGCCCTCTGTTTCCCCCTTCGCAAATTGAAGGGATTGGGCTGCCATTTAAAGGTCTCTGGGTGAGTGGGAACATCTGTGGACTCGAGGTCAAAGAGCCTGTCTACCTCTCTGGGTTCTCCCTTTTACTTGGTGATTGACCTTGGGCGAGTCCATTCCCCTCTCTGAGACTGTTTCCAAGCCAGCAGAATGGTTAGGTCTGGCTTGGCTGCTTCTCCTCTACCCCATGACCTTGAGATTCCTTCACTCAGTGACCTGATTTTGAATCTCAGTTCTGTCCCTCACTATCTGTGTGCCAGAGGACAATTTTCTTCCCCGTTTTGAGCCTTAGATGGGGAAGATCTACAAAATGAGGATGGGACTTGTTGGTCTAATGTCCTCCTTGCACTGGCATTCAGTGATTGGCTGCTTCCCGTTTGGAGCTTTTCCCTTCTTCTCCTTTGTAAGCTCCTTGGAGGCAGGGGCTGTCTTTTGTACTCCCAGAGCTCAGCATAGCGCCTGGCACACGAGGGGCATTTAATAAACATTTAGGGCAGTTAGGTAGTGCAGTGGATAGAGCACTGGGCCTGGAGTCAGGAAGATCTGAATTCAAATTCTGCCTCAGATACTTTACTACCTGTGTGCCCCTGGGCAAGTCACTTAACCCCTATTTACCTCAATTCCTCATCTGTAAAATGGGGACACACTGGAGAAGGAAATAGCAAAATACTCCAGTATATTTGCCAAAAAAAAACCCCAAACCAAAACCATGGACAAAGTCCAGGGTCACATAGAGCTGGACACACTGAACAACAACAAATAAATGTTTATTGATTGACTGAGCCTCAGTTTTCCCATCTGAAAAAGGAAAGGTTTGGACTTCATAATTTCCAAGGTCTTTCTTTAAATCTGATGATCATCTGGTCTTGAGGTGCCATTCCAGCTCTGATACTCTATGATTACAGATCCCGTATGGTCTCATCACTTCCTCCCTTTTGCCTCAGTTTCTCCCTTTGAAGAAGGAGAGGGCTGGACTGAGTGACCAGCAAGCTTCTCTCCTGGTTCTCACATCCTGTGACTGGGCTGCTTTGGAAGCCCCATTGCTCCGCCCACCTCCCAATAAACCTCTCTTTGTGAGAGCAGCAGGGAGCTGGCAGCATGGTTTTGGAACCTGAGGGGCCAGAGGGAGGCTCTGGAGCTTTCCTCTTCTGGGCACTTGAAGTCCTAACCCTGCCGGCCACAGGGCAGTCCAGTGAAGCCTGGTTTCCCATGAAGTACAGGACCCTAAGAGCAAACAGAGCTAAGCTTGGTCACTTTAAGAGCGGCACACCTCCCTTCCTCCACCCCAACCCCTCTGCCTTTCTTCTCTCTTTCCTGCTCTGAGTCTGGGGGTCCTGCCATGGCTGGGGAAGGATCTCCCAATCCCTCCCCTACTCCAGGATTTCAAGAGGATGAGAAGAGGGTTTGGAGCTGAGGTTGGGGGAGGGTAGAAAGAGATGTAAAGGGGGGTCCTCCTTTTAAAGGGCCCCCACTCTTGCTTCCGGTTGAGGCCTGAATCCTGTTACCATGGGGACAGGAGGAGGTGGAGGAAGGGATGCTGCTCCAGGGCAAGGTGGAGATGGGGGAGGGGGGCTTGTGCTCCCTTCTCCCCCCTCTAATGACCTTGGCCACCTCCCCATAGGGAGCCCCAGGAAGCCAGCCCCCCCACCTACTTTAGGCAGCTGCAGCTGCAGCCCCCTTCCTGTCTCTTCCCCTCCCTCTCCCTGTCTCTCATGTCTCTAGCTTCCTGTCTTCTCATTTCTCCCTTCTTCAATCTCTCCCCATCTGCCTGCTGCCTTCCTATCTCTGTCACTCTACCATCTCTTCATCTCTCTCTACTCTCCCACTACTGCCTCTCTCTTTCTCTCATCTTTTTTTAAACGTACTCTCTCATTTCTCTTGTTTCCTATTTCTCTCTGACTCTTCATCTCTTCCATCTCTTTACCTCTGTTTCATTCATTCCCCCCCCCAATCTCTCTAACTCTAGTCTCCCTCCCTTCTTGTCACTGCCAGGCTCCCCCTCTCTCTGAGTCTCCCTCAGTGCCTTTGCCTTCCCTGAAGCCAGACCTTACCCTCTTCCCCCATATCCAAATCCTCCCCCTCTCCCATTCCTGCCTCCCTCCCCCTCCCTCCTTTGCTCCCTCCCTCCTTCCCTCCCTCCCTCCCTCCCCTTCTCCAGCTCTTCCCATCACCCAGTGGCAGCAGAACAGAATTCTCTCCTTCCCCGGTTCTCAGGCCGGATCAGCCAGGCCCCCTCATCCTTTGGCCCCTAATCCCAGAAGCCTTGGTCCCTGGGGTACCCTCTTCACCAGCTCCCAATCTCAGGCACCTGGGTCCCCAAGCTGCCCAGCTCCCCCTTCCTCCGGCACTTAAGCTCATCGGCCGGGGTTCCCTGATTCCCTCTTCCCCCTTCCCCCATTCCGGAGGCTCAGCTCTCCAGACTCCTGCATTCTCTAGTCCTCCACTTTTGTAAACCCCAACCCCCAGGGACACCTGGTTCTCCTGGCCACTGGTTCACTGACCCCCAACACCCGAGGCTAAACCCCTTGGACAACTGGCTCTCCCAGCCCCCAATTCTGGACATCTGGGTCCCCTCCCCACTTGCCTCTCCATTCTCCATCCCAGAAGCTCAGCTTCTCAGACAACCGGGTCCTCCAACACCCTGCTCTCAGGCTCCCCATCCCAGCGACTCAGCCCCCAGACACCTGGGTTCTCAGCCCCCAAACCCTGCGACCCAGCTCCCTGGACACCTGGGTCCTCTGGACAACTGGGATAGGAGACTTCTTCCCTGTACCCATCTGCCAATCTCAGCGGAGGCCTGACTACAAGCAGCTCCAGGTGAGGAGGGGGTCATTGTCCAGAAGGGAGGGGCTGGGGGGACAGGGCCCCTGGCCACTCAAAGACACTTCCTCACGGCTCAGGCGCGGTGGATGGAAGGGGGCAGGGGATAGGGCCTGGGAGGGCCCCCTCCTGGCAAACTAGGACTACAAAGAGTGTGTGGGGGGACGCCCCAGGGTCTGCCTGGAGGCAGATCGGAGGGACTGGTGTGTGGGAGGGAAAAGGATGGGGGAGGAGAGGAGGCCTCTTAAAGGCCCCGTTGCCATGGCGACCACCTCCTCTACATCCAGCCCCACTTTAGATAATGGGGGGAATGGGAGAGAAACTGAGGCAGCAGCCAAGGTTACTGTGCCCAAGAACCCAGGCATTCTAGGTTCTTATGGAGATCTGGGGGAGGGGGGAGGAGTCTGAGACTGGGGGTGCTGGGAGGAGGGGAAGAAGTAACAGAAGGTGGGAATAGAGTGACAATGTCAGCTGAATAGAAGCTGGGGGTCCAAGGAGGGAATTCTTGGGGGTGGGGTTCTGCCTGTGTTTCTAAACCCTATTATCCTCCCTGTCTGTCAGAGCTCTGAGCTGTGGGGGTTGTGAGTGCCAAGGGAGAGAGAGTGGTAAAAATGAATTTTTCTTTTTCCTTCCTTGTGCCTCAGTTTCTTCCCCTGTAAAATAAGTCTGGACCAATCATTTCTTAAGGTTCCTTCATTTTCTACTGAGCTGTGAATCTAGGATCCATAAGATTGTTGGGGAGTGTTGGAAGTCAGGCTAAGGGGGTGAAGGAGGATAAGGTCAGGGGGCACTTTGAGCAGTGAGGGGAAAAAGTAGGTGGGGACAAGAAAATAAGCCAGAAGGGTCAGTGGTCCTCAAGTAAGGACTCTAGGAATGGGGGAGAAAATTCCTTCACCATGGGGTCCCTACCCTGTTATCTCCCTAAGATCCCCACTCTAAGTCTCGTGGGGCATGGAGAGTTTAGGGGGAATTAGGTTTAGGATGAGAAATTTTGGGTCTAGTTGATAGAGGTAATGGGGGTACAGGGTCAGGAGTGGGATAAGGAGTACTGTGAAGCAGGAGTTACATGAGATGGGGACCAGAAGATAAGTCAGGAGGGGCATGGCTACCGACAAAAGGCTTGGGGATCTTTTCTTTCTAATCCTTGTTCTCTGGGGCACTAAAGTGGGAGATTTGGGAACTCTGGTGGTAGAGGGAAAGGGGGGAATCTGAATCCTTCGTATGCACTGATTTTCTCCCCCAGTAAAATGAGGTGGATGAAAAGGAGCAGGGGATAGGGGCTTGAAAACTTAGGATTCTGTGGGATTGGGGGTGGGGGTGGGGTCAACAGTCAGGAATCATGGCATTCAAGGTCAAGATGGGGCAGAGGTTGCCATGGAAGAAGATGTAAAAGAAGGTGTCCGTGGATATTGACAGCACGAGGAGCTTGAGAAGGAGTGCTTTGGGCAGGGGGTCCTAGTCTGTTTCTAAGTTCTAATGGTTTTTTTTTGTTTCCCCCAAACTCTGAGATTCGAAGGCTGGGAATGTCCGAGGGATGACTTTGAGCGCCTCATCTTTTCTAAACCTCAGTTTACATCTCTGTCAAATGGCCAAGATAGTCTATAATAATTTTAAATTGAGGGAGGTAGTCTAGGTCACAGAATCATAGGTTTAGATCTGGAAAAGACCAGAGAGGCCACCTTCTAGGCTGAACCCCTCATTTGACAGATGAGGAGACCAAAGGACCGGAAGGTGACATTATTTGCCCAGGGTCACGCAGCTAGTGTCTGAGGCAGTAGCTGAGCCCAGATCATCCTTACTCCAAGGATCCTGGGGGCAGAGGTGGATGTAACAAAAGATGGGGACATACGGGTGAATCAGGGAGACAGTAGCATCTGAGTATTGAACTTGGAGTAAGGGATCCGAGTTCAAATTCTGTTTTAGACCCCAGTCTAGTCACTTAACTACTTTCAATCTCAGTTTCCTCATCTATAAAATGGGGATAACAATAATAACACCTCCCTGGGAGGGATCGTTGTGAGGATCAAATGAGATAATGTATTTAGAGTGCTTTTCAAACTTTAAAGAGCTCTAAAATGGTTAGCTGCTGTTGTTATTGTTATAATTTATTGTAGGCAGTATTCAGGGAAGGAGTCATTGGGGGATTGGGTTCCTGCCTTTCTCCCCCTCCAATCCTCATTCTTCTTTCCTTTTCCTCCTGGGCTTAGACCTGCAGGCTGTAGAGATGGCCAGAATGGAAGAAAAGAATTTAAGTCCTTTTCCCTCTCTGGATCTCAGTTTCCCCATCTGTGAAATGGGGGGCTGGACTGGAATATTTAAATTTCCTACTAGCTCTAAATTTTATAATCCTATGAAACTGGGGGTTGTTGGCATGGGTCCAAAAGGTCAAGGAGGAAAAACTGTGGTGTCTGTGTGGGTTACAAAGTACCATTAACCAACATGCATTTATTAAGCCCTAACTGTGTGCTAAGTATCACACCAGAAACTGGGGACATGAATACAAAAGTGAGATTGCCCTTCCCTCAAGGGGCTGGCATTCTAGGAGCAGGGGCCCTGTGTTCTCAGATGAGTAGGACATGATACGTATAAAATAAATGCACAACTGGGGGAATCAGGAAAAGCCTGGAAGGAGGAGGAGTCTGAAGGGGCTAGGGGTTTTTAAAAGGGAAGTGACAGATAGGGGAATGGCCTGGGCATAGGCATGGAAGTGGGAGATAGGATGTCCTCTATGGGGAACAATAAGCAGTGGGTTTGGTTGGAGCATAGAGTTCATGATGGGGACTGGGTAACCAGCCCAGAAAGATTTCTGGGATCCAGATTACCGGACTGGGTCCAGGACGTTGTGCCCACGAAGCTCGGGGCAGAGAACATTCATAGCTTTTGAGAAAGGATTGGGGGAAGTAGGGAGGGGGCTCTAATCCCTGTCCTCCTGTCTATGTCTGTAGCCACTGACCATGGCAGCCCGCTGACCCCCGTGCTCAACTGCCCGCCGCTGCCTCCTTGCTGCTTGGCACCAGCCCCCCGGGGGTCCCGTCTCGCCTGAGCCTGCCCGCCCCCCGCCGCAGGCACGGCCCCTCCCCCGCTGCCCCGGTGGTGGCCGGCGGCCCCCCGGCTGCCAGCCTTCAGACTGGAGTCCCTGAAGCGCTGGACAGAGGCTCGGGGCCTGTGGTGTGAGAAGGGTGTCCAAGTGCTGCTGACCACGGTTGGTGCCTTTGCCGCCTTCGGCCTCATGACCATCGCCATCAGCACCGATTACTGGCTCTACACCAGGGCCTTCATCTGCAACACCACCAACCTGACCGCCTCTGCCTCCGAGGACCCCCCAGCTCGCGGGCCTGGCGGGGTGTCGGAAAAGAGGGACCCCGGGGGGCTTACCCACTCGGGCCTCTGGAGGATCTGCTGCCTCGAAGGTACAGCGTTCTCCACTGGCTTTCTCCCCGGCTGCCGTTCTGGTGCTGTGGGAGACTCTGAGTCCCCTCCTTTGGAGCCCCAGCTTCTCCCTCTGTGAAATGGGAGCGTATTAGACCACCTTTTGGTTGGATAACTCTATCCCGGCCCCTTTCTTTCTCCTCTCCTCAGGCCTCCCCAGGCCTTCCATTTCCACCCTTCTGGAGTGGGAGGAAGGTTGGCTCTGACTCAGTGATCTCTGAGCTTTCAATGCCGGCTCTGACCTTCTGGAATTTTATGGCGCTGTTCATTGCCTGGGGAAGAGAAGGGGAAGGTAAAGGGAGGGAATAAGCATTTATATAGCACCTCTGTGTGCCAGGCACTGTACTAGGCACTTTACAGTTATTATCTCATTTTATTCTCATGACAACCCTTCGAGGGAAGTGCTGCTATTTTACAGTTGAAGAAACTTCAGCAGAAGGAGGAGTGATGAATTGCCCAGAGTCACACAACTAGAAAATGTCTGGAGCTGGATTTGAACCCAGATTTTCCCAACTCCAGGCTTCCTGCTCTATCCACTAAGCCAGACTCTCTTCCTCCCCTCCTTTCCTACCTCAGTTTCTGCATCTATAAAATGGGAGTTTAGGGTTTGACCCAAGATTCATGCTGGTTATTGAACATCTTCCAGCTTTGATGTTGTTTGGTTCCATGATTCAGGGTTCTGTTCCCTCTCTTGCCTCTTTCTCTCCCATGTCCCATGTCTCCCTTTGTAAAATAAGGGAGACAGGTTGGTCTCAACATCCATGATTATCTTCTTCAGCTCAAACTCTGAGCTCTTTGAGAACAGGGACTCCCCACCCCCCACTTTATACTGCCAGCACTTAGCACAGTGAGTGGTACGTAGTAGGCACTTAATAAAAGCTTGTTGATTGAGTGACTGCTCATGTCCTCTTTCCTACTCCTCTCCTCATCCTACCCAAGGTCCCACACCTGTAAAATGGGGGGGGGGAGGCTGGGTTCCATTCTGAATGGCAGAATCTCAGGGGTCTTTGATCTCTCCCTTCGAAGGCAAGTCAAGAAAGAGCAAGCATTTAAATGCCTACTATGTGCCAGGCAGGATGCTGAGCATGGAGGCAGGGGGTGGTGAGGACACACAAAGCTTTCAAGGACCTCACAGTCTCGCACCACTATTCTCTCCCCTCTGTTCTTCTGTGCCTCAGCTGCCCCCTCTGGGAAGTGGGAAGGGTCTGCTTGGTGGGCTCTGAGCCCATACCTTGCTCAAAAGTCCAGAGATTGTTCCCTTCCCCCCCCTCTCCTTTTGTCTCTTCCTCTGTCTCTGGCTCTGATCTTGATCTTTTCTCCCCCTCTTCCTTCTGCCTCATTGACCCTTTTCATCCATCCTCCCTGAATATTGTATCTATTGTCCAACTCTGGGTCTGAACTCCTCCCTGCTTCCCTCACCCCCTACTGCTATTTCTCTAGGGAGGAAAATGGAGGTCAACGGAGGGAAAGGGACTAGGTCATACAGAGAGGTGGGCTCCCAACCCTCAAGCTAGGGCTATTCCCATTCCCTTTTCCAGAAAGAAAAGTCTCCCCAGACCCCTGGAGAGCCCATATTGGAAGCCTCAAATTCAGTGAAGGAAACAGAGTGGGGGGACCTTGGGCAAATCCTTTCCCTTCTCTTCAGCCTTAGAATCCCCCTCTGTGAAGTGTGTGTGTGGGGAGATCTCTCTGGTCCCTTCCAACCTGGGCATTCTATGATGCTACAGTGTGGGTGCCCCCAGGGTAACTGCTCCCCTTCCTCTCATACACACTCTCACATCCCTTTTTCCTCTATCTCTAGGACTCTAGGCCTCTTACCAGGCCAGGGAAAGAGGTAGGTCAGTGGGACGCCCTTTGCAAGAGGCCAGAGCTGACTCCTCCATCCGAATGAAGGAGAGAGAAGAGGGACCCAGTGAGGTGTGGGTCTCCCCACCACTAATCTCCATCTCCTCCCTCTCCAGGGCTGAAGCGGGGTGTCTGTGTGAAGATTAATCATTTCCCAGAAGACACAGACTACGACCATGACAGTGCAGAGTACCTACTCCGTAAGTGGGGGCTGGGAATTGGGGGTGGAACTTGCCTCCCCAACTCAGAGGGTGGAGCCCAAATGCTCATCTTTGAAGCCCATTGGCTGCGATCCCCTGGATTTTGATTGGCTGTGGGGACTCTTCCATTGGAACGGAACTCAGGGAAAATCTGAGTATTCTAATCAGTCAGCCTTGGAATCCAGAACTGGAATTGGCCCCTCTCATTGGGATGTAGAGGACTCCCAGGCGGCACGAAGCTCTGATTGGCTCCTTCTTACGCAGAGTTGATCACGAACCTGAGAAATTGGTCCTGGGCCTTGGGAACAGGAAAGTGGGAGGAAGGGGAGGGGGAAGGGAGGGTCTGCGTGTGACCTCGCCCTGGTCCTCTGCCAGGTGTGGTCCGAGCATCCAGCATCTTCCCCATTCTCAGCGCCATTCTTCTGTTGCTGGGGGGCGTGTGTGTGGCTGCCTCTCGAGTCTACAAGTCCAAAAGGAACATCATCCTGGGGGCTGGTATCCTCTTTGTAGCCGCTGGTGAGGGCTGAAAGAAGGGGGGAGGGGGAAGGAACTGGAAGACAGGAGAGGGGAGGGAGACAGAATCTCAGAAGGACGGGTACCAGCGCCTCAACCCCATTTTACAGAGAGAGGATGTTTGAAGCCTAGAGAAGGCAGGTCCTCATTCAAGGTCATGTCTAGGTCAAGGGCAGAATTAGGACCTCAGAGAGAGGAGGAGCTCAGAAGGAAGAGAAGTGTCCTGGAGAGGGGGGAATTTAAAAGAAAGAGGAGGAGGAGAGCGAGAGGGAGGGCCTTAGACAAGAAGGGAAGAGTTTAGGAAGAGATAGGTTAGGGACTGGGATAGAGGAGGGGATTTAGCGCGAAAGGAGAGAGAGCTGAGGATGGGCAAGAATTAGGGAAAAGGAGAGGAATTTAGAAGGGGAGGAGCTTGGAAGAGGGTGCTTGACAGGAGGCGAGGGAAACTGAGAAAGGGGAAAGTCTTAGAAAAAAGAGGAGGAGCTAGACTCAAGGGGAAGGAGGAGCTTAATAGAGGAAGGCGGGGCTTAACCGGGAGGGGGAGAGGTTTAGGAAACGGTGGAAGGGCGGGGCTTAGATGAAGAGGCGGGGCTTAGATCAGACCGCGCTCAGAAGGTGAGTTTACAGGAAAGAGGAGGGACTTAGAGGAAAGAGGGTGGGGCCTATGGAAGGCCGGACGAAGAGGGGAGGGGCTTAGAAAAAGGAGTAGAGTTTGGCACTTAGGGGAACTGGGAGAGACTTAGACGAGTGGGCGGGGACGGTCGGCAAGGAGGCGGGGCTTAGGTGAGGGGGAGGAGCCGGGGGCAGGGCAGGGTGGACACCTGTCCAGCAGCAGCCGCTGTCAAGGCTGGCTCGGGCTGACAGTTGCGTTCCCCCCACCCATCCCCCGTGTTGTGTGTCTCTCTGTCCGCCCTCCCCGTCCGTCTTCCCATTCATCTGTCCGTCCGTCCGTCGCGGCCCGCCAGGCCTCAGCAACATCATCGGCGTGATCGTGTACATCTCGGCGAACGCGGGCGAGCCAGGCCCCAAGCGCGACGACGAGAAGAAGAGCCATTATTCGTACGGCTGGTCCTTCTACTTCGGGGGGCTCTCCTTCATCCTGGCCGAGATGATCGGCGTGCTCGCCGTGAACATTTACATCGAGAGGAACCGCGAGGCTCACTGCCAGTCCCGGGCGGACCTTCTCAAGCCCGGCGGCCGGGCCGGGGGCGGCGGCAGCGGCGGGGGCGGCGGCGGCGGCGGGGGTCCCCCGTCGGCCATCCTCCGCCTGCCCAGCTACCGCTTCCGCTACCGCCGCCGCTCGCGCTCCAGCTCTCGCTCGAGCGAGCCCTCGCCCTCCCGGGACACGTCCCCCCAGGGCTTCCCCTCCACGGACATCTCCATGTACACGCTGAGCCGCGACCCGTCCAAAGGCAGCGTGGGCGCCGGGCTCGGAGGGCCGCCTGGAGGCGGCGGCGGCGGCAGCAGCGGCGGGGGAGGGGGCGGAGTGGGGGGTCCGTACGGGACGGCTGAGCGGGAACGATCCGGTTCGGGCTTCCTGACGCTGCATAACGCCTTTCCCAAGGAAGCCAGCGGGGTGACGGTGACCGTTACCGGTCCGGGCTCCGCCCCCGGGGCCGCCGGGACCCTGAGCAAAGAGGCGGCAGCCAGTGGGGCGTCTAACACCAACACCCTGAACAGGAAAACCACGCCGGTGTAGGGGCTGGGCCGGCTGGGGGTGGGTGGGAGGGGGGGGGGGCCCGCTGGCGGGCGAGCGAGCGAGCAAATGAGCAAAGAGAGCACCGAGAAGGGGGCTGGAAGCTGAGGCTTGGCCCCCTTCTGCTCCTTGGCCCAGCCTGGACGTAGGAGGCTGGGATCCCGGCCCACCCCCCCAACCCACCGCGGCAGGGACACAATGGGATCCAAACTGGGGACGTTGGGGGCACAGGGGAGGGCGGGGAAGGGGTGGGCCGTGGGGGGGGTCTAGTGGTTTTTGCAGTTTTCAAATCTGTATTTTTTTTTTTTGCTGTTTGCATGGGGGGGGAATGGGGATGGGGGGTGGGGGTCTTACCTGGCCCGGGGCCGAGGGACCACAGGGGACCCCTGGCAAACAGAGAAGTCCAGAAGGAGGCAGAAAAAGACAGTGTGGCTGAGGATAGGCAGAGACCTAGAGACAGTGAGAGACAGAAACGTGGACAGAGAGAGCCTGAGAGAAGGAAGAGAGCTATGGGCAAATAGAGGCACAAAGAGGGGGAGACTGCAGACAGAGATGGAGCAGACATTTACATGTACCCATAATGCTACGCCAGGAGATGCTGGGACACAGAAGGAAAAACAAAGAAACCCAGTGTGTGGAATCCCTAGTATCTGGCACACAGTAGGAGCTTAATAAATGTTTATTGACTGACTGTGTGGACAGATGATAGAGAAAGATAAGGACTCACAGAAGGGCAGGCAAGAGATACAAAAAGACAAGGGAACAGAGAGGAGATGTGAAGACACTGAGTCTGTCTAGAGACAGGGAGAGAGTCAACTAGTAAGATGAGTGATACACAGAAACAGACGTTAATGATAAAAATAAAATTGACATAAAAATAATTAAAGCCCCAAAGCATGTAGAGACAGAAGGAAGCCAGACAGCTATGTGTACATCTCTGTTTCTCTATATGTGTATAATATATGTCATCGAATACAGATGACGTGAGCACAGAGACATGGAAATGGAGAGACACGAAGACAGGCAAAGGTACAGACAGACAGAGGTCTGTATCAACCAATAAGTACAGGTTATCTCTGGACACAGAGACAGTGAGCCAGAGATCAGGGGACACAGGCAGAAGGAGAGATATAACTGTGGAAGCTGGGAGGGAGACAGACAACTAATGGGGTGAGAGATGCTGAAGGACCATGGCAGGGCCCAGGCCAGAGGAGTCAGGGAGAGGTCAGGCCAAGCTTTGTCTGGTAAGCCATTGGCACTTGGAGACACGATCCAAGAGCTGCCTCCATCCCCGCCTCTCTGATGGGCCTGGTTCTGGCTCCTTGTCCTGCTGCAGCTTTAGTTCTGGTTCCCAACTGGGGCTGCGTGGACCACCCGGTAAGGGTGTCCTGTCTAATAAAGTCGATGAAGACGACAGTGTGGGCTGTCATTTCAACACCCCCAACTTTAACGCCCCCCCGTAGGGCAAGCCCAGATATGATCTCTCCCTACCTTGGAAGGACCCAGGCATCCCTTTCCCCCAGTCCCTGCCCTCCCAAGACACCAGGCATCCAGGCTCCAGCCCCTCCCACCCTCAGCCCCCCTCCCTCCACTTGTTCCCTTAAAATACCCACAACAGGTGCGGGTGTTATGTGGAGGGGCCCAAAATAGCCCCAGAGGCCCTGGTCAGGGGGAGGGCTGCCTGCCTGTCTGTGTGGGTCAGGGGGGAGGCCACAGCCAGAGCAGAGAGGGCTGGTGCAGTGGTGCTGGGGACCCTGGCCAGCCAAGCAGAGGAGTGGGGCTGGGGGCTGGGGGCCAGGGGCCGAGCCTAAGCCTTAGCCTGGAGGCCCAGGTGGCCACCTGGGGCCTGGGGGAGCCCAGTTGGGCCGGGCCCCTTCTCCCCCAGCCACCATGATGTGGTCTAACTTTTTCATCCAGGAGGAGGAAAGACGCCGGGCCGACACAGCACGGAGGAGAGCCCGGAGGACTGGCCCGGCCCGTGAGCGCCGTGGCCCCATCAAGCTGGCCCTGCTGCTGGCTGGCATGGGCACAGCCCTGGCGGTACTGGCCGTGGGCACCGAGTTCTGGGTGGAGCTGGGCACCAAACGGGGCAATGGCACGAGTGGGGTGTGTGAAGCTGCCCACCTCGGATTGTGGCGAGTGTGTGCCAAGAAGCTCTGGTTGGAAGACCTGCCCCCCAACAGGGAGACCTGTGGCCCTGCCGAGTTACCTGGAGGTGAGGACCACTGGTGCTCCCACCAGTGAGAAGGGAGAAGGGAGGGAGACACAGGGAAAGGGACTGTGGGCTCAGGGCAGGCAGCTAGGCCAGCTCCCTCCTTTTACAGAGAGGGAAACTGAGGCTCAAAAAAAAGTGATGAGATCAGTGGCTCACAAGTAGTGAAAAAGTGAGTCAGAGACACAGAGAGATAGAGCTAGGGACAGACACAGAGGCAGAGATGTGGAGAACTCTAGGAAACAGAGAGATGGTCTGAACTTCTGACTGACTGGACAATGTGGAGAAACTACCCAGACTTGTCTGGGAGTCTGTTAGTATAGCCTAGGCCTTCCAACTGCTCTGGGAAGGGGCAGCTAGGCGGCACAGTGGATAGAGCACTGGCCCTGAAGTCAGGAGACCCTGAGTTCAAATCTGGCCTCAGACCAAACACTTGACACTTACTAGCTGTGTGATTCTGGGTAAGTCACTTAACCCCAATTGCCTAAAAGAAAAAAAATAACCAAATAAAATGGTAAACCAACTGCTCTGGGGAAAGGTGAAGACGGTGAAGACGGTTAAGACGTCTGACCACCCCCTGGGCGACGTAGAGACCAGTGTTCTGACTTTACCAGCTCACAGGGAAAAAGATGATGATTTCAGACTGCCCAGACAGGATTGTGAGATGCCTTCGTGTCCTCGGGAGACACCAGGGGACAATGCATGCTGTCCTAGGGAGATGTGGAGAATGACTGAGGGCATAGGCTGCCCTGTGGGAGACTTAAACATAACCCAGAAAGCCCTAGGGGGCTATAGAGACAGCCAAGATCTCCGGCTTCCTGGGGAGGTCCAAAGGCTGCCCATGCCACTGCCTGCCCAGGAGAAGCAGTCTGAAATGGCCTGGAAAGACAGCCTGGCTCTCCGACTCTTGCATATCCCCCAACCCCCGGAACAATCCAAATTGTCCAGATGTCTGATCTCTCTGGGAAGACATGGTAGAAAGAACCCAGAACTCTAAGACAGGATGACGGCCCAGACTCCTGATGGTAGAGGGACTGCCCAAACCTGACCTCCTGGGGATGGAAGTATTGGGGCCAGACGTCTGACTACTTTACAGGAGAGGCAGAGATGGCCCAGACTTCTGAGCTCTCCAGAGATATGGTGAGCGCAGACCTTTGGCCCCACAGGGAGCCTGTAGAGACAGCTAATACCTCTGACCTCCTGGGGAATCAGGCATGCAGCCCAGATCTTGGCTTGCCTTGGGGAGAGATAGGCATGACCCAGCCCTCTGAGTTCCCCTGGAGACAACAAAGAGACAGTCCACATCTCTAAAGTCTACAGGGAGGCATGTGGATCAGAGCCCAGACCTCCGGCTGGATCAGAGACAGTTCAGACCCCTTGCTACCCCTAGAGAAACAGAGAGGAGGCCCAGACATCTCATTGTCCCAGGGACATGTAGAGATGCTTAACGCTTTGGACTCTTGGAGAAGGGGACATAGCTGCCCAGACTTAGGACTGCCTTAGAGAGAGACAGATAGACCTAGGGACCATAGCTCCCTAGGGAGGCATGGAAATTGATCCAGGCCTCAGACTGCCCCGGGAAGACAGACTGGACCCCGGGACAGACTTCAGGGGACGCCCAAGGCCTCAGACTGCCTCCAATATACCTAGAGAAGCCCTGAACTCTGGACTGCATTGGGTAATGACAGGAGGTGGGCAGGACTGAGACTGCCCAGACCTCTGATTGCAGGACAGTCTAGGTTTTTGACTGCCCAGGGATACACAGAGATGGTTCAACCTCTAATGCCCTGGGGAGATGTAAAGATGGCCCTGACTGTACCAGGGACTATGCCAAAGATGACAGACTGAGAATGATGAGGGGAAGGCCCAGAACTCTGCCCAAGCCCAAGGGTACCAAGATGGCCCAGCCCTGTGACTGGCCCAGGAAGCTGCAGAGATGGCCCCGCTGGGGCCACCCTGGGGAGAGAAAACTGGCCCATGTGACTGACCACCCCACTGAGATAGAGGGAGAAAGGTCTCCCAGAGAGACCAGAGACCCCTAGGACCCCTGGGCAAGTCTGAGACAAGAGAAAACCCTGGGGAGATGTGCAGACTGATACAGGGAGAAGGACCTGGACACAGAGCCCAACCCTCCAGCCAGCCCCAACACTCCTCAGGATGCATCTGACTGCTCCCAAAAGAGCTGGAATTGTGTACTGCTCCTGGGAGGTATGGAGGCAGCTTACACCTTTTACTGACTGGGGCAGCTGGAGAGATGACCAGACCTTTGACCCACACTGGGAAACGTAGACACAGCCCTGAACCCCAACTGTGTCTGGGAGACTAGGAGGCCACCCGGAGTAACAACCGTCCTGGGGATGATCCCCACGTGGGACTGCCCTGGGATGGGGTAGATGGTGAGATACCCCTGACCTCAGAGCAACTCAGGGAAAAGTAGAGCTAGGCAGACCTCCGGCTTCCTTGAGAATTTGTGGTGATATCCTGGACCTCTTGGCTTCTATGGGAGGCAGAGAGAGAGAGAGAGAGTCCTGGAGGACCAGAATGGACAGAATTAACTCATTGCCTAGAGGGCCATGGGAGTAGCCTGGAATTCTGACCACTGGGAAAGGAGGACCTGGACTGGGGAGCAGCCGGGGCAGGCGCCGATGTCCCAGACTTCTGACCCATCTAGTAGACACAGATCACCATCGGATCAAAAACAGAGAATGCCCAGACCTTTTCAAACTAGAAGCTTGGGCTGAATCTAATAAGATCAATTTAATAAAGATAATTTTATAGTCTTAAGCCTGAGTTTAAAAAAGTCAATGTTGAAAGCACCGGAGGAGGGTAGTGTGCTTAGGCTAGACAACAGTTCACCAGAGGAAAGAAAAAAAAAAGATCTGTGGGGTCCCAGTGAACCACAAGCTCAATGTGAAGCAGTAGCAGCAGTGTGATGAGGCAGCCCAGAAAGCTAATGGGGATGCTAGGCTACGCTTTTAGAGGCCTGGTTTCCAGGAACAGGCAGGTGAGAGCCTCATTTCCTGGGCCCTCATCAGCTCTCATGTTCAATTCTGGGAACAACTCTTTGAGAAAGATATTGATAGATGGGGAGTGTCCAGAAAAGGGTGGCCAGGGTGCTGGAGGGCCTTGAATCCATGCAATACGAGGCACAATCGAGGCGCCTGGCGTGTGGAGCCTGGAGAAGCGAGGACTCCTGGGGTGGGGGTGGGAGGTCATAAAGGCCATGAATGGAGGAGGGAGCTGAGAAGGGAAGGCAGGGGCATGTGACCAGGAGTGACCCGGGTCCTGCAAATGCTGCTGCTTGGGGAGGGGCAGAGCTGGCCTGGATGCCTCTTAGGTCCATCCTTTGTGACTCAGAGAGGAATCCAGGAGGCCCAGACTTCAGCCCAGACTGTCTCTGTCAACCAGAGAATGGACTCTGGGAGGTGAGAGATGGAGGTGAGGTCCAGCCCTGCCCTGGGGGGATTGCAGAAGCGGCCAGCTCTGCCAGCTGTAGGCCCAGGCTGAGGCCTCCAAGCTATGGGGGGAGAAGGTCCAGACCTCCAGCCTACCGAGGGAAGACTAGGCCCTGTTGGGACAGGCCTGTGCTACAAGGACCACCCCATTGCCAGCCTGACTCCTTCCCTGCACCTTCTCATGCCTCTCCCTCTCTGCCTCTTGCTCCCTGGAGATCCCTTTCTCCCTCCTGCCAAGATTACTGGTCTCTGTCTGTCTCCTTTCCTGCTTCTCCCTTTATCTGCCTCCCTCCAATACACGTGTCTCCCCATCGCACCGTCTCCCTTGTTCTGCCTTTCTCTGCCCATTTCTCTGCCTTTATGTCTCTCTCTCTGACTCCCTCGAGGAAGCGCGCCCTGGATGTCCCCCTCTCCCTTTTTTCTTCTCTGCCTTCCTCTTCCACACTCACTCAAATCTTTTTATCTCTGATCAGTCTGTTTCTCTATCCCCGCTTCTATTTGCTTCCCTTTCCTTGTCTTCTTTTTAGTTCTCTCTCTCTGTCCTCTCTCTCCTTCTCTCTGTCTCTCCCTCTCTCTGTCTCTGTCTGTCTCTCTGTCTCTGTCTCTTTCCCTCTCTCCCTCTTTCTGTCTCTCCCTCTCTCTGTCTCTGTCCCTCTCCCTCTCTCCATCTTTGTCTCTGTCTCTTTCTGTCTCTCTTCCTCTCCCTCTCTCTCCTTCATCTGCACCTGTCTCTTTACCTCTTCACCTTTTTTGTTTTCTGCTGTCAAGCACAGGGAGGCTGGTGCTCATTATTCCCATTTCACAGAAGAGGAAATGAGTGCGCAGACAACAACGATAGGGCTTTCTCTCCTCCTTTGTCCGTCCATCTGCCTCTCTTCCTTTCCCTGACTTGAGTCTGGTCCCCAATGTCAGCATCCCTCAAGTGTCCCCCTGTGTCAGCATCCCCCCAAGTATCCCCCAATGTCAGCACTCCCTCAACTGTCCCCCAATGTCAGCATCCCCCAAGTGTCCCCCTGTGTCAACATCCCCCAAGTGTCCCCCAATGTCAGTATCTTCCCAAGTGTCCCCCAATGTCAGCATTCTCCCAAGTGACCCCAATGTCAGCATCCTCCAAGTGTCCCCCTGTGTCAGCATCCCCCAAGTGTCCCCCAATGTCAGCATCTTCCCAAATGTCCCCCAATGTCAGCACTCCTCCAAGTGTCCCCCTGTGTCAGCATCCTCCAAGTATCCCCCAGTGTCAGTGCCCCCCAAGGTCAGCACCCTCCAAGTGTCCCCCTGTGTCAGCATCCCCCAAGTGTCCCCCAATGTCAGTATCTTCCCAAGTGTCCCCCAATGTCAGCACTCCCCCAAGTGTCCCCCAATGTCAGCACTCCTCCAAGTGTCCCTCTGTGTCAGCATCCCCCAAGTGTCCCTCAGTGTCAGTTATCTTCCCAAGTGTCCCCCAATGTCAGCACTCTTCCAAGTGTCCCCCTGTGTCAGCATCCTCCAAGTGCCCCCAATGTCAGCACTCCCCCAAGTGTCCCCCAATGTCAGTATCTTCCCAAGTGTCCCCCAATGTCAGCACTCCCCCAAGTGTCCCCCAATGTCAGCACTCCTCCAAGTGTCCCCCTGTGTCAGCATCCTCCAAGTATCCCCCGGTGTCAGTGCCCCCCAAGGTCAGCATCCTCCAAGTGTCCTCCTGTGTCAGTATCTTCCCAAGTGTCCCCCTGTGTCAGCATCCCCCAAGTGTCCCCCAATGTCATTATCTTCCCAAGTGTCCCCCAATGTCAGCATCTTCCCAAATGTCCCCCAATGTCAGCACTCCTCCAAGTGTCCCCCTGTGTCAGCATCCTCCAAGTGTCCCTCAGTGTCAGTTATCTTCCCAAGTGTCCCCCAATGTCAGCACTCTTCCAAGTGTCCCCCTGTGTCAGCATCCTCCAAGTGTCCCCCTGTGTCAGCATCCCCCAAGTGTCCCCCAATGTCAGTATCTTCCCAAGTGTCCCCTTGTGTCAGCATCCCCCAAGTGTCCCCCAGTGTCAGTATCTTCCCAAGTGTCCCCCTGTGTCAGCATCCCCCAAGTGTCCCCCAATGTCATTATCTTCCCAAGTGTCCCCCAATGTCAGCATCTTCCCAAATGTCCCCCAATGTCAGCACTCCTCCAAGTGTCCCCCTGTGTCAGCATCCCCCAAGTGTCCCTCAGTGTCAGTTATCTTCCCAAGTGTCCCCCAATGTCAGCACTCTTCCAAGTGTCCCCCTGTGTCAGCATCCTCCAAGTGTCCCCCTGTGTCAGCATCCCCAAGTGTCCCCCAATGTCAGTATCTTCCCAAGTGTCCCCTAGTGTCAGCATCCCCCAAGTGTCCCCCAGTGTCAGTATCCTCCCAAGTGTCCCCCAATGCCAGCACTCCTCTAAGTGTCCCCCAGTGTCAGTGCCCCCCAGTGTCAGCATCCCCCCAAATGCCTGTGTCTTCTTCCCACAGAGGCAAACTGCTCTTACTTCCGATTCTTCACCTCAGGGGAGAACAATCGAATCCTGCAGAGGACAACTAAGAAAGGTAGGGCCTCTTAGCCCTTGGGTTTGGTGCCCCTCCCCAAACTCCCCACCAAGATTCTGGCTCTGGGACCCTCAAGGAGCCTGAAGCAACCTCAGAAGTTGTCTGGCTCCACTCCACTCCCATTTTATAGATGAGGAAACTGATGTTGCATGGGCAATCAGTGGTGGGCTCCTCTTTCCAGCAGCCCCACTACTTGCCTTCCCCAGGTAGGCTCTGATGGAGTGCTCTCTGATGTCCCTGATCCCCACTCTCCCCTCCCAGAGCTAGGAGTAGCTGCTGCTGTCACTGCCACACTGGCCCTGGTGATCACAGTCCTAGGCTGCATCTGTGTCATCATGGTGCTCAGCAAAGGGGCCGAGTTCCTGCTCACACATGCAGCAATCTTTTTCAGCCTTTCAGGTAAGGGAGTGGTCCACCCAGGCCCCAGTCTGCCCGGCTCCCCAAACTGCTAATGCTCAGTGGACTCCCTCCAGGTCCAAACCTGGGGATTTGCATAATTCAGCACAGTTGCATGCTGGGAGTTGTAGTTTCGAGAGGCAGTATCATGTAGCGGACTTTAGGGGCAGTAGTGTGTTGGGAGTTGAAATCTCCAAGGACAGTTGCATTCTGGGAGTTGTAGTTCCTGGAACGCGCAATAGCCCTCAGCCCAGCGTCCGGCACACAGTAAATACTTGTGAATTGTTGCCTGCTGCAAGGACTGTTGCATTCTGAGATTTGTAGTCCCCAGAGAGTGCGGGCCAGGAGCTGGGGACCCCTGGGGCCTGGGCCGCCAAGTGGAGCACCGGGCTGCCTTCTTTCTATTCTCTGCCCACAGGAGTTTTGTTGCTGGTGAGCCTGGAGCTGTTCCGTCGGGGGGTCCGCGAGCTGCTGGCCAGGACTGGGCCAGGCCCAGCCCCTTGGCTGGGTTATGAGTATTCCTGGTCGGTGGCCTGCGCCCTCGCAGCCGCTGCCCTTCTGCTCCTGGGGGGAGGCTCCTTCCTGCTCCTGGCCCTGCCCTCCCGCACCTGGGGCATGTGCTGCCACCAGCAGCCAGGTGACCGTGGAGGTGGAGGTGCGGGAGCTACCTAGCGTAGCCAACTCCCTTCCAAAACGGGTCCCCAACAGATCCGCTCTGATCTCCTGCCCAGACACACTCCTTGGAGCTGCTCAGAGATCCACCCAACCTTAGAGAGTGATATCCTCGGACCTTTACTCATTCTCAGGGACAGCATATCCCCTCCTGGCGCCAAAGAGTCGATCCTTCTGGTTGTCGGCTGACGCCCAGGAAGAGGGCCTTTCGGTTCCAGTGAATCAACACCGGTTCCCGTTTGGATCTGCATCACTTGCCGGATCACAGAGAGCAGACCTCTTCCTATACCTGTGTGTCTCTGAGAAATGGATTCCTTCCTCTCCCCTGTCCTTCCTCCCCCCCATCCCACGTCCAAATGGCCGGGCCTAGATCCTTTCTGGCTCCAAAGGGCCCTGGGAGGGACTCCCCCGCTCTCTCCCTGGACACGGGGCTGGGGGATTCCTTGCTACCCCTGCCCATCCATGGGGAGTGGACCCTTTGCCAGTGCCTCCCTGATAACTTTTCACTTTCTCCCTGTCTTGTGTCCTTTTTCTGATTCTGGAGACCACTAGCTCCCCTCCAATGGACCATGCCCTCTCCCTCCCTTTGTATATATGTTGTGCCATATATCTCTGTGCTAAATGGGGGAGGGGGTTCTTACAGACGAGGGTCCCTGGGGAGGCAGGTGGGGACCTGATATGGGCAGGGAGAGATCATAAGGGATTCTTCTCTTTTGCCCTAACTTATTTATTGGGGAATGTAATGTGCCTGAATGGGCAAAGTTGTGGGCTGGGGATGCTTGGGTTCCCTCTCCACCTTCTACAGCCCAGGATTAAATGATTAGGAATTGAAATGATCTCAAGTGTGTCGGTTTCTTCACAAGTAGATGGGGCAGGGGATAGCATACTGCCCATGGAAACTCCTCATGTTGTCCCCAATGCCACAGTCACACAGCAAATAGCCTGCTTCCCTGACAACTCAGGGTCCCTGAAAGAAAGGGCCTTTTCATTGTCAGAGACTAACTCCAGACGATTCTGGAAATCAGAACCCTTAGACACAAAATCGGGCATTCTTCAATGGTTATGATTTCACAAACTTGGTCATAATCTGCTTTTATGCAGAGAAGAACACAATGAGTATTAGACACCTTAAGTCCAATGCCTCCTTTGTTTTACAAATGGGCAAACTGAGGCCCAGAAGCAGGAATCCATCCATGGTTATATAGCCAGTGTACAATAACCGAATCTTAGAGTTAGAAGAAATACCTCTGAAATAAATGAGGCATTAGAGATCTTAATGCAAGGAAGCAAATTGAACTTTATTGAGTGTTGGTGGGACAAAACCTATGATGAGTTTCTAGATCTGGCTGGGTGTACCAGAAACTGGATAGGTAAGAGGGGTGGGGTGGGATTGTATACTAAATAGAATCATGGGAGGAAATCCTGGAAAATGATTGGGGGAAATGTGATGGAGAAGTTTGGGTGAGAGTTGAAGGAAGGAGAAATTGAAGTAATTTTGTCAAAAGAACACATTACAGACCACCTGGACAAAAAGGGGGAAAAGACGAAGGATTTAGGAAACAGATCACAAAGCAGCTGGCTCAAAGGCATGGGAGAATTCTACCTTACAGATATGCTCCACTGCTTCCACTCTCATAGCTAATGCTCATAGAACTCTTTAAGACTTACAAAGCATCTTACAAATATCATCTCATTTGATCCTTACAACAATCATGGGATGTAGATGCTAGGATTAACCTCCCCATTTCATAGATGAGGAAACTGAGGCAGACAGGGCTTAAGTGACTTGTCCAGAGTCCTGAAGCTTGCAAGTGTTAGAGACAGACCTTGAACTCAGGTCTTCTTGACTCTAGCTCCACTACTCAATCCACTCAGCTACTGAGCTGCCTCAGGAACCAACTTTTTATCATTCAAAGGACAAAGGTGGGGAAATTCTGGATGGATCTATTTGTCACTAACTGTAGAGCTTGTGATAAGGAGAGGTAGTCTAAAGTAGTCTGATTTGTGATTTTGATTTTTTCTTTTTTTTGTGATCTTCATTTTTCAAAAGTGGATTTCATTCCAGAGGAAATGTAGGCAGGATCCCATGGCCTAAAATGTTACAGTAAAAGTCAACCCAGATGGGATGGGAAATGATCAATAGTGAAATTCTGAGAATGCACAGAGAAACAATTCTGATGATGCCGTCCAAAGGGATTGATGTGGATGTGCTGGAAACTCAGCGACAAACTTAAAACTGAAAAAGAAATGTACATACACTGGAAGCCACGGCAGGAACAGAGGATAGGTATAGGAGGATGGTAGGATCCCACAAAGCTGCATTGGGAGAGCTAAGATTTGTGATGTGCTGAAGTGGTGGCCAAAAGGAAGGACATCTCAGAAGGTTGGGGTGTTTTTTAGTGCTACTGGGGAAAGGGCAGAATCAGAGAAGGCCCAGGACCTTTGCTTCCAATGCTTGGGATGAGGACAGCTGGCAAAAGGGACAAGGCAGAGATGTTCCTTCCTTATTTTACCTTTGTTTTCTCAGTCAAGGAGAATGACCTTTGTGTTGGAAAAGACAGAAGGGGCTAATAGGCAGTAAGTACCCAGAGTAAACAAAGAGACCCTAGTAGCTCCTCCACTCAATAAACTCCAGTGGCGTTCTGTTGCCTCCAGGAGCACATAGGAAATGCTGCTTGGCCTTCAGAGCCCTTCAGATCTGCCCCTCTCCTACCTTTCCTACTCCCCGATACATGCTCTTCCATCCATCTCTGATTCCCGGCATTTTCTTCAGCTGTCTCCATGCTTGGAGTGTTCTCCCTTCACTGCCCTGATTACTGATCTTTCTGATTTCTTTTAAATCCCAACTAAAGTCCCATTTGTTACTGGAAGCCTTCCCCAACCCCTCTTAATTCTAGCATCTTCCCTCTGTTAGTCATTTCCTATTTATCCCATATACAGCTTACTTTGTATGTATTTGCTTGTTGTCTCTCCCCCATTAGGTTGTAAGCTCTTGAGGGCAGGGACTGCCTTGTGTATCTTTCTGTATCCCTTTTCATTTCAATGGTGTCTGACTCTTTGTGACCCAATCTGGAGTTTCCTTGGCAAAGATACTGGAGTGCTTTGCTATTTTCTTCTCTAGCTCATTTTACAGATGAGGAAACTGAGGCAGAGAAGGTTAAATGACTTTCCCAGAGCCACACAGCTAGGGAGTGTCTGAGGCTAGGTTTGAACTCAGGTCCTCCTGACTGTGCCACCTAGCTGCCCTTAACCACAGGACTAGAGAAGGTGAAATGTCCCCAATGTAAAAAAAAAATTAAAAAGATGATAATAGATTCTGAAAACTATGAGTTCATTGAGCTTGACTTCAATTCCTGGGAGAATTCTCCAGCAGATCACTAGAGACAGTTAGCTGTTATTGTCTGTCCTTTGTTCTCAAAGAGGCCCATGACATCAGGGAGGCTATGCCATGACATGAGAGTGAATTGGATTTAAGTGAGGCAGGTCTGTGCAAAGTCACCAGCCTCACTGTCTCTGCAGCCATCTAGGTCCAGTGGCCAGATATGGCTCAGGATGACTGGAGATGGTCCCCAGATGGTTAGCAAGGTTCTAGGAAAGGAGGGAGTGATTATAAAGAGTGAGCCTGGCTTCCTAAAGAACAGGTTGTGCCAGACCAAACTTATTTTCTTTTTCCTTTTGTTTTTGTTTTTTTTTTTATTTTTATTTTTTTGCTAGGCAGTGTTGGTTAAGTGACTTGCCCAGGGTCACACAGCTAGTAAGTGTCAAGTATCTGGTCTGAGACTGGATTTGAACTCAGGTCCTCCTGACTCCAAGGCCAGAGCTCTATCCACTGTGCCACCTAGCTGCCCCCATCTTTTTCCTTTTGGACAGGTTACTAAACCAGTAGGTCAGGAGAAGCCTGTCCATACAATTACCTAGATTTTAGCCCAAGTATGTGATAAACTATTTCATATTATGTTAGATTTAGAGACGGGGACTAGGCAAGACTATGCTTCGATAAATTCAGCACTGGTGGAATGGACAGAAGCAGAATAGAGTCACTGTTAGTTTTTTTGTGGACTGGGAAGGAGGTGTCTTTCAGACTGGCCCAGGGATATCGACTCAGCCCCTGGTGGGTTAACATTTTTAAGCAGTTACTTGGACGAAGGCAGAGATAGCATGATCTTTAATTCTGTAGCTACAGTGGGATGGTGAACACATTAGAGGAAAAAAAAAACATCACAGGTGAAAGTGTTGAACTGAAACTAATCTGATGAAACTGAATAGAGATTAATGAAACACACTTGGGTTCTGGAATTCAACATCATAAATGCAATATAGGGAGGAATTAGGGTTATGCAGTAATTCATCTAAAGTTTGTGTTTTAAAGAAAAAAATGTATAGTGGCCTCTGACATCAAGATGAACCAATAGCGTGGCATGACAGCCATGGGTTCCATGAATAGGGGCCTAGTTTGCTATAGTCCTCATTACTATTATTAATTAAGGGCTGCCATGTGCCAGACACTCTATTTCACCCTTCAGTCCCCTGCCCTGGTCAGAGCCATTTGCAGGGCTGCGGGCACTTCTGGATGCCCCATTTTAGGAAGTCAAACCAATGAGTGTTTGTTGTGTGCCAGGCACTTTGCTACGTATTTTAGGAAGGACCTCCATGAGAGGCTGTTCAGATGGTGAAGGGGAGGTGTTGGGGAGACTTTGCCTGGAGAAGAGAAGACAGGTCAGAATAACTGCATTCAATATTAGGGGGTTGTGGAGAAGGGATCGGATGGTTTTATTTTTTCAAACCCATGACATTTGATCCAACATTCAGCGATTTTGCTTTTTTTTTTTTTTGGAATTGGATTGTATTTGGCCTTGAAAATAGACCCATTTAGGTGAGATGACAAGGAAAACTCTCTAACAGTTAGGGGGTCCCCAAGTCCCCGTGTCCAAAAGTGGAAGAGGCAGCTCTGAGAGGTAGTGGATTCCTTTTCCTTGGAGGCCACTAAGCAGAGCCTGGGTGACCCCTTGATGGGTAATTTTGGTAGAGATTTTTATTCTGTGATCTTGGATCATTTAATTAGTTTTTTAAAAAATTTTTACATTTTTGTGATCATTTAACTTAATTAAGGGCAGCTAGGTGATGTAGTGGTTAGAGTGCTGGACATGGAGTCAGAAAGACGTGAGTTCCAATCCTGGCTCATCAGAAATTTCCTAGCTTTCTGACCCTGGGTAAGTCCCTTAACCTCTATTGGTTTCTTCATCTGTAAAATGAGAGTAATAACAGTACCTACTTTGCAGGGTTGCTGTGGATCTAGTGAGATCACATTTGTAAAACATTTTACAAATGTTAAAGTGTTATGTGAAATACAGAATGTTTATGGAAAAGACCTAGAGAGAGTACGGATCTGCTTAATGCCACAGCATCAGGAGTTGACCCTAGTTTTCCTCCTATCACAGATCACCTGATGGTAGTAAGTCTTAATGATTCAGGACCTTGGACCAAAGCTGGAAAGAACCTCTGCAGGATGAGGAAACAGCCACCACAAAGCCCATGCACTCCTCTCCACAGGAAAAGAGACAGATAGGTCCCACCCACAATGAGGCAGGAACCTCCTCGAAGAATTGAGCAGCTAATGGAGGCTATTCTTTTGTGAGCTTGGCCATCTGATTTTCTAGGATCTGGAACTGGAAGGACCCATAGGAAAGATCACTGAGGTTTTCTTTACTCCATTTGACTGAGAGGGGAAACTGAGTCCATGGATTTCTACCTATATGTCTCTTCTTGACATCCAACATTCCTCAGCTTCCCTTTCTCTTGCTTCTACTATTTTGGTCCAGGTATGTCT